GATAGACTCCTATGGGAGTTCAGAGGCTCATACAAACGGTCCCGGTGATCGAACACCTGGAATTCAAACATCTGCCTCAATTCGTGAAATCAGTGACTTATAATAGTCGAGCTTCAGTTGGGGGTTTTGCTTGGAGGAGACAACTTACATTTTTGACTGCGACGTGCGCCATATGTGGTGCACGCAATGCACCGCGGGCATACAGGCTATTTTGGGAATCGCAGTCAACGTGTTAACTCGCCCTGAACCCGATCCAAGAAAGAGGGGGTGTGCACAGCAAGCGAAACGACGTACCAATTTCACCGATGTCCGGGAAGAGAAGGTCACTGACATTGTATACGAACAAGACCGAGCTCACGACAGTCTCCTCCTTGCCTGAGGCTGACATGGGCAGCTTGGAAAAGGTCAGGGAAAGATTGAATGAAGGTTGATTGTTTGAACCCCAGGTGAGCTTCATGTCCTGCATTGTCGCGCCACAGGAACCGTCCGGAAAAAGATGCCTGTCAACCGGTATGGTGGCAGTAACGGTCTCGTTTTTGGACTACAGTAAGAGTGGTTGGGGAAAGGATTAAATGAAAAGCGTGATTTGTTAAAGGTAGAGAGTGAAATGGTCATTGCATAATCACCCCAAATAAGAAACGAAAGTGCAGTCCAGGTTGGCATTATGCTGTTTGAGAAAAAGAGTGACAACAAAAGATATTTGCGAAAGAACACTCCCGGACGATCTAGTGTTACAGCCCACGGACAATCGTTCAAATGCCGTAAAACCAGGAGAGAGAGAGAGAGAGAGGGGGGAAGGGAAAGAGTATTAAACTGACAATAAATATTTATCAAAAATGATCCGTCTGGAACAGTTGTTTTGCAGAGTAGCCCCCTCCCCCCTGCCATTAACTTGGTAAATAATCCGGCTAAGTTTTCCAATGTTGCCGATGTTCGAGGTCGACTCCACAGAGGTTGTCAATTCAGTCTCTGCGGTCCTCGTTGACTTCGCCATCATTGTCCGAGGTTAGCGGAAGAAAACTTCGGTGCAGAACTTAGCCCGAGCTGTCTGAGCAGATACCTGGAACGATTTTTCAATTATCCCAGTCATGGCGGCGCTATTATCTCAGTAGTATAGCGGAAGAGTCAATGTATGATCATTTTGTGTTGACTTTCTTTCGACGTGAGCGGTAACGTAGGGCAGGATTTCTGTTGTCACAGCTTCAGCTGTGATAGCTTGTTCTTAGCACGTGACCTCAAAACGTCACACACGTGACGAGAAGTGCGTTGTCAATCACATGGAAACGCAAATATTGTTTAAATTACAAGCATTGCGAATTTGGGCACCACACATCAATCTGAAAGTAATGCACCCTGATAAGAAACCCCGAAAGGCTTAGGGTGCAGCCAGCCTAGCCTACTGTACGACAATCGTTTGGATACCAGTTCAGTAGATGAAAGCACGTGATTATAAATATCCGACTGCAGTCAGCAAAAGTCCATACTATCTTTCCGTTATCGGACGGAGAACCAGGCCCAGTGACCAGAGTCACCTATTCCATTATGGTCATTCCAGGCCTCGGTAACAATAATCAAATCACGGATAATGAGTTTTTGCTGACCCAGGTAGGTTTTCTAAATACGCTGGTCGGTAATTGATGTTGGTGCGCAAACAGAGGCGACGGAAATGGTGGAGGTGTCCCTGTACTCGTAAGTAAGCCAGTCAGTTACTGACTGACTCCCACACAAGCAGCGCAGACTTGGCCTGAGAGAGCGATCACCACACCCTAACTACGGAAGAGTTGCGAGCCATTTGGATAAGGGGTAAGAGGATCACTGACCCGAGGTATCTTGATTTCCAGTGAGCGTGGGCCTGGATTCACACTGGCAGCAGATATCCGCTTTTTACTAATGAAGGTTTTGTGCAGTCAGACTTCGGGCATAGGAGGCCAGGAAAGGGCGCAAATTCCCGCATCTAATATGCAGAGCCAACCACTGATTGATTAATCCAGCGTCTATACTATTTATCCGCAGCACTAGATCAGGGTTGCTATCTACCTGTGTTTGATATTTTGTCGGGTACGGCTGAAATGTGTATTCATCATCTGTGGCTCAAACCTAGCCTGTCATATGCCCCTGTGCCTCGTGAAAACGCTGCGTAAACGTCATAGCTTGTGCATTTCACTGCGTGAACCATCGCGTTCGCCAAAATACCCACTTTGACCGGCGAAACACGACATCTCCTACATAGGACATAAAACAGTGACATAATAATCAGGAAACATGGAACTCACTTCCATGGGCAGTCTACGCGTAACGCGAGAGTCGCACCAACTATGCTCAGGAAGGAGTCCAGGGAGTGTTCAGATTCAACTATTAGGAAGGCAGACTGGCAGGACTGTCATAAGACCACCGATAGACGTTGCCATTGTCATACAAAACGGCCTAGCAACTACAAAAGAAGCAGTTTTCGCTAAATACACTAAGCTGCATTGACGGAAATCAACGAGTCTTGTTGGCTTGAGGACTAATTTCATATAAGCGTTTTCCTTCCCCTTTCTCTGAATAGGACTCATTCTATATACTTTGCCCAAGTTTTGGTTGACGATGGCAGGAAACCTTGCCCTCAACGTCCGCCACATACAGGCAAATGAGACTTCCTGCGTCATTTCTGTCGTTGGCAAAGTTCGCAGCGACAATAATGCATGAGTGGCGAGTGACGTTTCTTCAGAACTGGCACGATAGATCCACAAATGTCCGAACTGCCTGACACGTGACTGGAACGTGGGATCACAACTGGAATAATTTGGTATTATTGGGAGCGTCCCCAATGTTAACGAGCACAAGTGTCTAACTATAGTATGCCGGCACAAGAACAAAATGCTGCGGTGAAGGCGGGCGAATTTTTCCATTTGGTTACGATTTTAGAGTGCGCAGGCTGGATTTACCATGCCGCGATGTAATTAAAAGTAACCGCATTATTTAATTTCGACCCTAAGTGTCAGCTGGTCAGCACAGATATGTATGCAAAGGATGAGCGTGCTTTTAGTTACAGCCACACCATCATT